TGGAAGTGATTGCACTATTTATTTTCCCAACCTATGGCTTCTTCAGTCAGTCTGCACCTCTGATCTGGACCAGCCCTACATAGTCTCCATACTTCTCCAGCCAGTAAAACTGGAAAACAGAAAACTTTTTGGGCTATGCAACTGAGAAATGACAGGAAAAACCACATTGTTCTGTACAAACCGAGTATCTTAAGCAGAAATTCCTATGCTGACAGTTTGTCAGCCCTGAAGCCCTGTAAGAATGCTTCATTATCCCCTACACCAGGCTCTTCTTTCTCCAAAGGAAGGAGACATGAGCACAAGGCAAGTGATATGAGCTGCAGGGAGATGGAAGGTAATGAAAGAAAGTAAGGGGAGAACTGAGTTATCCTTCTGTAACTTCCCTGAAGGGTTCACTGCTAATGAAAATCCCATAAGAGGGCCATTTATCATATGAGTAAACATACTTGTGGCAGAATTCCTGGCATATCTCACCCAGTCTCAGGGCCTGTTATCCAGGCACCAAATCAAGATCACAGTTACTTGCCTGGTAGGCTGTGTGGTCTGCAAACTAAAGAGTGTGTGAGGACAAGGCCATGCAGACCTGAGCAAGGGCAAGAGCCAAAGCAACGGTGAGCTAGGCACAGATCACAGAGATCACAATAGAACAACTTGGACACAGCAAAAGCTTTTGCAAACTCCCCTGGTCACAAGGAGTGCTAGCAGGAAAGTTACTACTTTAAACAACAGAATATTAAGCCCAAAATACAGTGCAGAGATGTTCTTTCAGATTACTCCAGCCTCAAGCTGCTAGTTCCCGACTTCCCTTGGATCTAATTTGATCACGTTGATTATCTTCGTCGTCCCTACTAAATCAAATCCTACTTTGGAGGAAAACTCATTATACCCTGAACAGACAGAATGCTCCCAAGACAAATCTCCTCCCAGCTGCCAGGTAGAACTGAGCTTTCATTACAGGACAGGTCAACTGGGGCACGGAACTGCCCCCCATTCCTTCTCAGCACCACCCAGTGAAGTTGAATAGTAACTCAACGGGGAAGTAGGCCTCCTGCTCAGACCACAGCTGGATCCAGCTTGCTCACTGCCAAGATTAAACTCCTGCACAAGGTGAGTTTCTCCTTGAGTGCAGGATCTACACAGAGCCCAGTCTCAAATTTCCTCCCAGTTCAGAAGGTGAGTGTGATGGGAAGGACAAAAAACACCAGGAAAGGATAAAAACCAAGGGGAATGATTCTGCTCTGTGAATACCTCCCTTCCGAGCTCAGCTGAGCGTTCTGGAGCTGCAGTTTGTTAAGAGAGGGTGGAGAAGCCAAGGTAAGCAAAGAGTTTATAACACTACGAAGTCTTCCTCATTCTTAGTTCCTGCTGACCTACAAGGAACAGGTAAATACACTGGGGGAAAGCTCCTCAGGGCAGTAAATCATTGATGGGAGACATTTGCTGATGGACTTATCATGGATCAAGTAATGTAATTTACATCTGAAATTCAGATTTATTTCTCCAGGAGAGAGTTCAAGGACTGTTAACCTAATGGACAACACTTCTGGTGCTAAAAGAGAAGAACATTAACCCTGGCTTCTCTGACAAGAACACGGTCCTGGCCTCACTGATTTCATGGAAATGGAGTAAATCCAACCGCAAGAGAGGACCAGGTCTTTTTACAGTTACAGTTTCTAACTTCTGAAGCAGTGTGACAGTGTAAATCCAAACAGCGAATATCCACTTTTTCCTCTGATCTCTCCCCTGGTATCATTTGTGAGCATATTCATTATCTGGCCCTTCTCCAGAAAGCTGTTAGCCCAGGATCTACATGTGGGACTGCGGTAATTCACCCTTCCTGCCTTCTAATACCGCAGCATAGCTCAGCCTGTGGGTGCTAAAGAGCTTGGTGCTTGAGGCAAACTGCTTTTGAAAACAGTTTCTTACACCTAGAATCATAGAATAGCTAGGGTTGGAAAGGACCTTAAGATCGTCTAGTTCCAACCTCCCTGCCATGGGCAACTGGCCTCAACGCCCAGCGTAACAAGAGGCCCTTGACTTCCCTGTTGACCACAACCCAGTTATCAGCTAGTATCAACCCTGGCACCATTGACAAAGGCCAACCTGTCAGACCTACGTACAACGGCTCTCCAGCAGAATTTAGTTAAGAGCCGGGCACCAGGAAACCACCAGCCTTTTTAATGCTACGTTCTTCACTTTATCTATGTTTGGTTTGGCAAATTTGCTTCCAGAAAAGCTTATTAGCAGCTTTTCTGCCACTAAGATTACCACAGGTGTACACTTGGTGTGCTTTTGGAACTCCAAAATACAGAACTCTTTGCTCTGTTGCTCAGAAGTGTAGGAGTGATGGGCTGCAGCAGATTTCTCACAGAGAACAGTGCATATTTTGTGCTATTTTGGGCTTTGATTTGTCAGAACTTACACTGGCTAACAGATGGGTGAGGGGGAGATTGGGAATCAATGCCTATTGCTTTTGGTAGATACAAGTGGATTCTCCAGGTCTTTCTTTTTCAGGGTCTGATACTGCCGGTCAGTGAATGGTAACAAGCAAAAGCAAGTCTCCTCTTTCTCAGTTCAAGCTTCTTCCAGTTCTTCTAATGACCAGACTGGATACCTGACTGACTTTAACAAAAGATTTTGTCCTCCTTAATTTATAAAGTCATCTTGTCTATCTGCTACTCTTTCAGGGTTATTCCTTTCCTCTCCTAGTGGTAAGTAACTACTCCCTCCATCTGACTTTCATTTCCTCCAAAGTAGATACTATTTAGCACTTCCCTAGCAGCTACACAACCTCATTTTACAGCTCCATTCTGCAACTGCAATCAACAGCTGTTAAAAAATACACTTTGGAGACCTTGATGTTTGATTTGAAATGCTTTCAGCAACAGAAGAGTTGCATAAAGTTGTTTGTGAGTTTATCCAACTCAACGTACCACTGGGTGTTGCATAGAGGAAAGTCCCCTTCTCACTGATTAGGTTTTACAGCCCCTCTTGGTTTTTAAGAGGAGCCTTGAAAAAGGAAGCCTTATTGGTCCATCTACAGCTTTTGCAAGATTATTGAAGGTTTTATATGCAGGTTTAATATGTTTGACATTGCATTGCATGTATAGAAGCACTTAGCACAGCAAAACAGCAGGACTGCTGATTCAGTGGGATGGGAAAAATGGGACAGGGTCCATCCCCTGGGGACATGACCCACCTGAGGAGTTCTGAAGTTATTTATAGAAGCTGGTCAGGTAAAAGTTGAGCTAAAACTACTAAGGACTTGTTTAAGAATTCCAGAAATAAACCTACTGGGTCAAAGCTGAACCAACCTGAGGCTGCAGCTTGTCCTTCTGCCAGTTCCTGTGATTCACTGCACAACCCAGTGTCTGCAAGGATCAAGGCTTCACTTGGCAAAGTTACTAAGCACATACTTGGCTTCAGACTGATTCAGTGATGAACTAGCTCAGTGAGACTCTTCTTACAGAAATGAGGCTTTTGCTATTTCAGACTGCTGGAAGCAACCCATCAAATTGTTTCATCAAGGAATAAAGCAACAAGCAGAAAGGTGGCCTCCAAAACTCGATACCAAACACCTCCTTCAATCCGCCTTTATCAGAGTTTCCCAGTTTATTTGGAAGGAGAAGCCAACAAGTTTTATTCTTGTTGCCCTGTGGTGAATGATTCCTTTTACCTGTGGTAGAAACACAATGTGCTCATGTATAGGTGCACTGTATCGAACTGTGTTTTTGTAGGAGGCAAGGATTAACCAGAAAGTGAGCACAGGCAGGGGCAGCCTCAGTAAGTGCAATGCACACCATCAGGAACATTATGTGTCTTTGTTAAGAGATTGGGGGCTTGATGACAGTCTCATGCTGGAAGACAGAATCAGCAGAAACCACCCAGCTCATTTCAGAACTCAGAGCCATGCAAAGCCATAAACCAAAGAGGTTCCTCTTCACGGAGCTCAACCACAGCTTCCTTCTCACAGCCATAGCAACATTTGATGCTGAACTTCACACTGAATGTTGAAAAGGCCCTTTTCATTTCCTGTTAAGAGAGGTGTAAGTCAAAGCTATCAAAGGAAAACCAACAGCCCTGTGATCCTTCTCCAAGTCCTGAATTTAAGTGACCCTGCACTTGATCGCTTTTATCAGCAGTCCCAGGGAAATTGCACCCTTCCAAATGTGAGGAGCCTTCACAGCCACTCCAGGCAGCGGTGGACTTCCAGAGGATCCCACAGACCACTAGAAAAAGAGCTATGAATAGTAAGTACTTCAGAAGCAGAACAAAACCCGTGGTTGCACCATTCCTCTTTTTATTTGTTCTTTCCTTTCCAATGAGCTGTCAACAGAGCATGAAAAGAAACATTGGTCTTTTCATTGATATTCTTTGCGTTTGTGGGAAAAAAACAACCCAAACCATTCTGAAACTCATGAATGTTTACTCAGAACTTAAGTGCGCTTGTTCAGAAAGCCATGGTATTTCATGGTATAGCACGAAATGCGATTTCCCACTGCCTTCCACAAACATAACCAGGAAGCATGTGTCACAGGTATAACTCATCACCTGCCTGGGCACCAATTCCCTGTGGATATCACAGACACCTACCACTGAAGCTGCTTTTAAGTACCCATTGATACCCAAAGCTACGAATAGAGCAATCACAGCCGGCGACTAGACGAGACGCGATTGGTCAACCCGCTCTCACTGCGCCCTCCCATTGGCTGGCAGAGGACCGGACGGGACCTTCCTGTTCCCACGACGGAAGGGGAGAAGAGCTCTAGGCTGCGCTAGGGGCGCATGCGCTTGTGCATCGTGGTGTGTGCGCGGAGGGGCAGGTTGGTATGGGGGTGCCTGCCGGGGGGCGGTGTGAGGGGATGGGGTCCGCTCCCCTCTGTTATAAGGGGTTGTTACGAGCGTGATTGTGCTGTCTGACCCCCCCCCGGGGGCCTTCCGACCTCCTTCTGCCAGTGCCTCTGTGCCTGTGATAGTGTCTCTGGTATGCGAGCGGCGCTTGACCACCGCTAGCAGCTGGAATGCATCTGTTTGGGGTTGTTTAGAGCTGTGTGTCACTGTATTAGCACCATAATGGAGTGTGTTGGTTATGGGTGTATTTAGAGGTAAAAGTAGCCCTGTTCTCTCACCTGAACGCCTTTTGGGGGTTGGCTTTGACCCTGCATTGCACTCTTCCTATTCTCAACCTATTTCTTAATGCTCTTTGCAGGCAGTTGGCTAGGACACGGGCTTCCCAGTGATGACCAGCCCGTAGCTGAATTGTGCTTGTGCTGCTAGGGGACTTCAAGGTGCTGCTGGTGGGTCAAGGCATGTTGTGAATCAAGCTGTGCCTCCTTAATTACACTGCTCCCTTTAATAATGATGATATTATAGTGAAGGCAGGGATGGGGAGCCATCCAGTGGGGACTCAAGGTTTGGGGGGTGATGCTCACCCTCTGGTAAAGCAGAGGGATGAAGGTCTGGTGACTTGGGGGTTGACCCACATATGGGCTGGTGAATCCCGTGGAGCATGGCATGTTTTGGGATGGGAGGAAAGAAAAGCAGCTCTGAAATCAGGGTGATGAGCGCTGACTGTTCTCTTCATGAGTGCATTGAGATGGGTAGAGGTGAGGGCCAGGCTCCTCCAAGGTGGGGACCCATAGTTGGTGCTGTGACAGCCATCATTCCGCTCCAGAGTGAACAGTCAAGGGGACACTGACCCAGCTTGGCTATGGCAGTGTCACAGTGGCGGGCAGAGGCTTCAGTGTCCATCTCTGAGCTCAGCTGGGGTTGCTGGTGCATGCTGGGTGTGGTGACGGATGTGGGAGGGAGGGAGGGAGGCCCCAGGGAGGGCTGAGCTGCTTCCCCTGCCTGTGCTTCCGTATGCCCGGCGGAACCCGGTCCTGCCCCCAACTGGGGGGATCTCGGGGGGAGCCCAGGGATGGGGCGGCTCTTCCACACTGTCCATAGGGAAGCTGGTGGGTGCCTCTGTCCTCCCCTCACCACCTGGGGCTGCCCCATTAGGAGCTGTTCCCAGATGGGGAAGCTGTAGGGGTGGATCGGCATCGCCATTCAGCGTGGATCCTGTTAGGCTGCGGAGGGAACATGTTGTGTCCTAACTCTCCTTTCCCACCTAGGTGATCCCTGAAGATCCTCCTTGCTGAACTCAAGCGCTGATGTATCCCCCTTCCTTGCTCCGGTGTCCATCTCCTGCATCCCAGGTAGGCACACCCTAAACTTCCCCCCCACACCATACACTATCCTTGAATAGCAAAAGCTTTTCACTATTACTAAGCAATGGCTTGCTTGGGCTTCAGCCAAGCCCTCTTCTGTTTGCCTCAGCTGGTCAACCCATGGTGATCCCACTTCTCCCTCCACAGGATCCTTTCCCCACCGTCGGGAATGAGGCTGTCTCCTGCCCGTTGGCTCTCAGCCTCGCTCGCCACGGGTATGCATCTGGTAAAGAGCAGGAGGGTTTGAGCTGCCTCTTCCTGGCAACTATTGGGGAGGTGGGTGCAGAGAAACCCTGCTGGGGGTGGTTTTGGGGCTGGGATAAACCGCACTGAGCTCTGGGGGCTGAGGCCTGCTGCAGGCTGGTTCCTGCTCTCCTGATTTCTTCCTTTATCCCTTCTTCTTCCTGCTGGCAGGAGAGGGTTCAGGCTGGCGATCGGCAGCTGAGCAGCGCGGTGCCCGTTATGGCTGGTGAGTGCTGGGGAGTGAACACTCTGAGTCTGTCCCCTCCCCACCAGAACATGCGGGTGCCCACATGGGTGCACCCACGTGTCATGGTAGCAGATGTTTTAGGGGCTGGGGTGGTTTTGGGGGGTTGGGGTGAGATCCCATCTGGATCTTCCTATCTGGAGGTGTCCTGCTGAAGCCACTGGAAGCCCCCCCCTAAAACCTCCCTATGGTCTCCCTGGCTCTGCAGGTTGGTTTAAGCGGCTCCTGCACAAGCCCAAGCCGAGGTCAGGGGAGAACAGCCTCAACACCAGCCGTTCTGCTTCCTCATCACCTTCCTCATCCTCTGCTGAGAGCTGCAGCTCTTCTCCCAGCACGAGCCTGACCCGGTCCACCCGCCCGTCACCCATGTTGATGTCAGACATCACCGCCTCGGGCAGCGCCCGCTGGGCTAAGACCTACGATGTTTGCATCTGCCACAGCGAGGTGGACCTGGAGGTGGTGGAGGAGCTGGTGTCCTACCTGGAGGGTCAACCTGAAAGCTTCCGCTGCTTCCTCCAGCTGCGGGATGCAGCGCCAGGCGGCGCGGTGGTGACGGAGCTGTGTGATGCTGTGCAGAACAGCCACTGCTGGGTCATGCTCATCACCCCCGGCTTCCTGCAGGATCCGTGGTGCAAGTACCAGATGCACCAGGCGCTGGCGGAAGCCCCGATGGCCAACGGGCGCACCATCCCTGTGCTGAAGGACGTGGATCGGAAGGATTATCCCAAGGAGCTGCGAAACCTCTACTACATCTACATGAAGGAGAACAGCTTCAGGCAGATCAGGGACACCGTTGTGCGCTGTGAGTACATCACTCTGAGGGTGTAAAGACCATGTCAGTTTACTTACTTTAAGCTTAACTGGTTGCTTATGGGGCTTATCTTCTGCCTCTGCAGATCTCCAGGACCTGTGCCGGAGCTCCGTGAGCGCAACAGAGTAGTGCACAATGGATCTGGATGTAGTCGCATCTCAAGGGACCTTGGAGCAGACCTGGGAACTGAACGTGGACACTCGCCTGCATCCCTGGAGGACAGATGCCCACGTCTGTGTGGCCAAACCCCCCTCAGAGGGGAGAGGGACATCCTGGTCCCTACTGCTTATTGTGCAAACACTAAGCTCTGATGTTCAGAGGCTCCGGGAGGGGGGGGGTGTCTTCAAGGCTCCTGATGGGGCTCAGACCCTCAGTAAACTGACACAGCGCCTGCCCGGCCTTTGCACGCGTTCTCTGGGACAATATAAATGCAGAAGTTTGACATTTTGAGTTAATGTTCTTTTCACCTCCTTGTGGGTTTCAGTGTAGGGGGGTTAAGCTTAGACCCCCCCCCCCTTGAGGAAGGTCTACCCCCAAGCCGCCAGGGGGCAGGCTGTACTCGCGGCTCCGAGGCTCGCTCCTTCGTGCGAGCCGGCGCAGGCGCAGTGCGGCGGTGTGCGCCATGGCGGAGGCCCCGCCGGTGAAGAGGAAGCGGGAGGAGGCGGAGGATGGCGATGGCGGTGCCGCCGCCCCGTTCCCGCTGGCGGAGCTGCGCCTGCGGCGTGTGCTGCGGGAGTCGGCGCGGGACAAGGCCGTGTTCCTGCACGGGGAGGTACCGCGGGGCCCCGGGTTTGGGGGGGGGGGGGGATAGGACCGGGTACCGCGCCGCTGTTAACCGCGCTGAGCGGTGGCCCCGCCTCCCGCCGAGGCACGTCAAGGCACGCCACGCCCCCACGGCGGGGCCACGCCCCCACGGCGGGGCCACGCCCCCACGGCGGGGCCACGCCCCCACGGCGGGGCCACGCCCCCACCCCGAGCGCATGGCGCGCCGATCCAGCGTGGCGGAAGGCGCTGTTGTTCCCCGCCGTTATCCCCACGTTATCCCCTCCGTTGTCTCCATTTACCCGCTTTTCCAGCCCGGTGATGCCCCAAGCCGGGCAAAGGGGAGGGCTGGGGGGTGGCAGGATGCGGCCGCTTCCTGCGCTGGAAGGCTTAATTCAAAAGCTCTGGGTACGTTTGGATTAGTACCGGTGTTGCTTCTGGCCCCGAGAGCAGGTTTGTCGTGCTTGGCAGTGAAGCGGCATCGATCTGCAAGCATCATGCTAGCTCTGCGATGTGTATATGATAGGCATATCAGTCCCTATAAAAGGTAAAGGGTGCCATAAAAGAGAAATCAATTGGATCCCAGACTGGTTTGGGTTAGAAGGGGCCTTAAAGCTCATCCAGTTACAACCCCCTGCCGTGGGCAGGGACACAAGCTGCAGTGTTACAGTCCCCCAGCCCCTTGCCTGTGTTCTCATCCTGACCCTCTGACAGCCGCATGTTGACCTGAGAGTATCTGAGATGAAATCAGTGATGTGGGTCAGTGGGAATGTGGCTGCGGGTGCTGGGAGCATCCGGGGAGGTGCAGATGGGCTGAGACACTGTCCGCATCCTGTGCTCCCCAACAGAAACCTCCCTCATGGGCAGCAGATTCCTGCTGTGCCTCAAGCCACACGTGCCTTTATTTTTGGATGGTTGGCTGGTCCAGGAGGGGGTTTGTGTACAAGAATTGAGGGACTGCAGTGTGTCTGCTTTGGAGCCTCAGGTCCTGGCCTCAAACTGGATCCATGTCACCAGCAGCTATATTGGTTCTTATTCCAGGTGACCGGCCCCTCTGGAGAGGGTACAGATGCTTTAGTCATCCTGGAAAAGACTCCTTTCCAGGAGGAGAAGCTGTTGGACCTGCTGAAGAAGCACACGAAGCTGGAGCTGCGGATGCACAATGACATTTACAAGACATACCACCTCTACCCTCCTCCAGAGCTGAGCGGTGAGCACGGGGGTCCCAGGAGGGTGACATGGCTGTGATGCTGCTCCATGTGTTCCTACCTGCTCTGGTTGTGGTTTGGCAACAGCAGAGCTGGGGGAGCAGTAGAGCATTGCTGCTTTGAAGGCAACATCTTAATTGAGGTTTTGGGTGCTACCTCACTTCACCTCCTTTTCCTCATGCTCATCAAGCTATAAAGTTGCTGGACACTAAACAGATATCACTTGATTCCTTGCCCAAGCCTTGATTTAAAGGTCAAGGGCTTGTGGGTCTGGAAGCTTTCCTTGTGTGTCTGTCTTCAGTGATGTTGGTTAATCTGGTATAATGCACTGTCTCTCCCCATCATGTTTACTTTGACAACACTGCAGAGCACATCTTGGCAGGTTGGGCACTTCAATTTAATGCTGGGATGTGCTTAAATTCCAAAGGTGCAGCGATTAATTACACATGAATGCTTCTATAAGCACAGTGACAACCAGACAGGCTTAACAGAGTCAAAATTCATCAGAGTGATAGCTTAAATTAGAAGTTGTTGCAGTCCTGAATTGAATTCTTTAGATGTTTGATGTGCCTTCCCAAATACACCTGTATTTTAATGCTGTTTCCATGTAGTAGGAGGAATCACTGTCTGTCTTTGGGAGCTTGTGAGTTGTGCTAAGCTCCTCTTGCCCTGTGAAGGACTTTAAATCAGAGGTTTTGGTGTTACAATGACACATTTCAAAGGCAGGAGAAGATGGTAAAGCTGTGCACAGCCTCCTTCCTACTTGGGCGTCTGCTGCAGTGACATGCAGTGATTTCCACGAGGTGGCATTGCAAGACTAAAGTCCCCTGGGCCTCTCTCCAGCTGCAGCCCTGGCAGCTGGGCTGGCATCTGACTTCTTGTAGCGCTTTGAGCAGTGCTCTTTAACTCCAGTAGTCCCCTGATTCAGTCTTACTTTATTTAAGGTTTATGCTGGTGTGAAACCTCTCACTAGGGTGAAAACGCTGTTAAATGTCTCCTCTGTCAGTGCCATTCCTGGTCCTGCTTTATCTGAGAGGCTGGGGCAAATCCAGGTGAATCTGAGTCTATTCACATCCCATTTCTGGGTCTTTGTTAAACTGAAATCTCATTCAGGTTATTTGGTGTGCCCTCTGTGCTGTGGCTGCCCAGTGTTTGTGTCGTGTATAGCTGGACCAAACCTGCTGTGCTTCTGGATGAGTCCCTGTGCCATTCCTTCTGTTTGAATAGGGAAAAAAGCCTCTGGCTTCCTTCTGCTAAAGCTTATCTCTTTAATTACTCTTCCATTGCCTTTAAAAGGTAGGGTTTTGTAGATACATTCCCCAGTGGTTAATCTTTCCTCCTCGCCCCTCTCCTTGTGCTTGCTCTGGATGTTGAGCAGCCCCAAGCAGGGGACCAGGATGGGGCTGCAGATGCTGGTGCTGCTCTCCAGGCTCCCCAGCTCCCTGCTATAAGTGGGGAAGCTTCTTCCTTAAAGCAGTTCAGTGCTCAATAGCTGTCTTTGTGGGCACGTTGCTTAAGCTGCTGGCAGGCAGCTGGGCTGGCACCGGCGGAAACGGTTGTGTGTGTCAGGAGGGGAAGGAAATCGCCCTTTTGAGTTGAGTCACGGCCCAAGAAGGGAGTTGACGTGAGGAATGCAACTCATAAACCTAAAACAGGAAAAGTTTCCTGTAAGGCTGCAGACGGCGTCAAGGCTTGTGAGGAATCCCGGGATCGTGCTGAGATGCAGCGAACCCTTGCATGGAGTCTCTCGCAGCCTTTTGGTCCCAGGGTTGGAGAGAGAAAGGGTTTTCTCTCCTGTGTCTTAGCACAATGCAGTAAAGGCCAAGTGGTTCATGGCATGAAGCAGTTCCTCTGAAAAGCCCCGGATTGTGGCGTCACACAGTTCCCCCTGGGGATTTCACACCCCAGATGGGTGGACCCCTCTTCTGCTCAGTCTCTTGCTTTCTAGAGGTAAGATAAACCACATGAGGAAATCACTGCCTCAAGTGACTCATGGCACTGGGTGTGAGGAGTCGCCTCCAGCCCCTCTGCTTTTAAGACGTGTGTTTCTCAATGCCTCCTTTGTTGTCCCAAGTCCTTGGGCAGCTCTTCTTTGAGCCGGAGTTTCTTGATAGCTGAAGGTGAAGGTTTTCTTCACCCTCTCCCATGGAAGTGCTGCTGTTCCCTCTGCAGAGTCAAGCTAACACAGGCCCTATGTGATGAAAGCTTGTTTCGTCTTGGTGGTCCATTGCGAGTCTGGGCCAGTCGCTTTGTTTGCATGGTGAAAGCAAAGGAAGGGAGGCCAAAAGCAGCACATTACCTCAGCAAGCACCTCCCCTCTGTCCTGGGAAGAGGAATTTCACTCTGCTGCTGCTTAAAGATGAGGTTTTTAGGGCTGGGAGCACACAGGTGTGGAGATGCCGGCCAGAGAAGGGACCTCAGCTGTGTCTCTGGTTTAAGTGGCCCCTGGGAGAGATGTGTCAAGGCTAAAATGGGGGAATAAAAGACATTTGTAAAGCAGATTGGTAATGGTCAGAGCTCATCAGAACGGCAGCAAGCTACCTGAATAAAGAGAAGGAAATGTGAGTGTGTTTGCAAGGAGGAGCAGTGTCAGAGCTAATCCTAACTGCTCTGCTACTGGCAAAGGCAGGCGTGTGTAGCTTACTTGAAGGCCAGTTGCTGGATGTTGCCTAGGTTTAAGAGGCAGCTTATTCCTAGAAGTGTGAGAGATGGTGAAGGAAACCCAGCTCTGGGACTCTCCCTTGCAGTGAGAGCAAGGGCTGCTTTCATAGAAGGGAAAGATGCTGTTGCGAAAGGCTTGGTTGCAGAAGTCAGATGGTTCAATCCACGTGTTCCCCAGTAACATCCAGCTCCTGGTGGTGCTCACACCCATTCAGCAAGAAAATCCAATGAAAAGCAGCCTCCTCTTACCTGGTTGCTGAGGGATGGTGTGTTTTACAGCCCCAAAGCTGTGCCAGTATAATTTAAGGGCTCTTATCAATCCTTGAAGGAGTCTTTACTCGCTGGGCATAGCTCATCCCTGTGTTGCAGGCTGGAGCTGATAAAACCATCTCAAAACGAGCACAACAGGAGATGCTCCATCTCTCTGACACAGGGCTGGGAGAAATGGGAGAGCATGGAAGGAAGGTATTCAGTCATGCAGGAAGTGATGCATATCCCTGCTTTCCCTGGTCTGGTTTCAGGCAGCGTGGAGCTGGAGAGACTTGCAGGAGCTGCCGAAGGGAGGTTGGTTGTGTCCCAGTGGTTCCATGCTCTGCCTGCCTGCGAGGCTTACCCAGCAAAGACAGCTCCTTATGGAAGTGTAGATGCTGCAGCAGTGGGATGTGTGGGGTGGGTTGATAGGGGGTATGGCCATGCTTTGCTCTGGGGTCTGGGGCTTGGTAACATGGAGCTAGACATCCTCCCCACACACCCTGAATCCCCTTTGGAAGGGAACCAGGGGCCAACCAGCCTTTGCCAGATGTCTCCAGCGGCTTGGCT